CGTGCACGCACAGCGCTCTGCGTAGGCGAGACGGCCTAGCGGGGCCTGCCGGAGCCTCAAGCTCCACCCAAAACGTGGCCACGCCCTCCTACAAAACCCCTCCCGCGGAGCTTCGTCCGATCCCGCAAAGGCGATAGGTCCCGCCCCTAGACGTGGGCTCGCCCTCCCCTAGACGCTTTGACCGGACCCTCGAGCAGATAGAACCCGCCCCTGCGTGTGGCCACACCCTCTCTACTGCCACGCCCTACTGCCAGGTTCCGCCCCCGAGCGTTTGACCTCCTCCCAGCTCCGCACTTTCCCGCACCTGTGACGCGCTGCTGCTCACTAAAAGAGGTCGCTGGGTTCAAGCCCGGAATGCCCAGCCCCTAGAAAAGGCTGGGCCACCGGCTACAAAGGCCCCAAACAAAATAATGCAGGATGCCCCGTGTGAGGATCGAACTCACGACCTTCAGATTATGAGACTGACGCGCTACCTACTGCGCTAACGAGGCTCCTTAGCAACCAGCTCTCAGTCAGGACCTTTGCACAGGCGGCGTCGCAGCGAGCAAGATCTGGCAAAGGGAACCAAGGTTACTGTCGCCTAGCAACAACACCACGTCTAAACCGACTTGCCCAGGTTGCACCTCGGTAGCAAAGAGGTCTGGTACTCAGTGAGGTGGGAATTTCAGGTGTCCCCAAACTGCTCTCCAGCTCACGTTTCCCTGCACAGCACAAGGCTCCTAGAAACTTACGTCTCCGGAAAAGTCTATCCTCCGCGGCTCTCTCCACTTCGTGACCCTAGAGACTATATCACATTTAAAAAAAAAAAATTATTAAGATTTATCATTTGCGTGGTACTGTCTAATCCCAATTTGGGATTGGAGGATCGAGGCAGGAGGTTCAGAAATTTAAGGTCATCCTCGACTAACTTAGTGATTTTTGAGGCAAGCCTGGAATACATGAGACCCTGTCTCATAAAAAAAAAAAAACAAAAAAAAACAAACAAAAAAAAACAATATGAGGTTTTGGTTATTACTGACCTGTGTGCCTCCTTGTAGTCCACTCAATAAACTACCCCCCAACAAGCAAACAAATATTATCTAATTCATTGGTTGAATGATTAATAATAACAGTAACCAAGGGCTCCACTTGGTGGCATGTAATCCCAGATCTTCAGAAGCTGAGGCAGGAGGATGGGGACTTTTAGGACATCCTGATCCACACAGCAAGATTTCATGTCAAATAAATAAATAAACTTAAGTTACATAATAATATTAGCATTGTGTAAGAGGGCAGCTGAGCACACACTGTTCTGGTCTGGTGTATGAAGGCTCGTGGGAAAGTTAATCTCCGTGTTAGTGTGTGGCTGAAGCCCTGGACTCTCCACTCCAGGCTAAACCTCCTCAGATCCATCATTTCATGGGCTATATGTCCATGAGCCTTCAGTGAGAAGATGGAGCAACAGTGAGCTGTGTGTCCTAATTCAGAATACAGCCTATGGTACCCAGGACTCACAACTCAATGCCTCACGGGTCTCCCTTCACTGAGCCGGGATTCCTCCTGCCAGCACGCTACCTAGACTCTGCTCCTTTGCGCGGTAACACATAAACAAACGCCAGCGGGTTGCTGCGTCGCCCACTTAACTGGAAAGCATCCACTGACCTCACTGACCTCACCAGGTCACCATTTCCTCACATTCTAGCCCTAGCTAGCTTCCGTCTCACCTCCATCCTTGCCCACCTCTGCATTGGCTGCCCTGGTGGGAGGAAGCAGGGGTGACCCATCCCCACCCCCGGAAAACGCAGTTCCCAGTCTGCCTGGACTCCACATCCTTCTACCCAGCCTCGAAACCACACCTTCTAGGAAGTACCCTATGTTGCCCCTCAGGGGACAGGCTTTATTCCAGAGCAAAGGTCCTGTTTATTATAAACACCGTTTGGATGTGGCAACCAGCACGTGGGGAAATGCATATTTACCCTCTGAGTACGCGAAATGAAAACTAACAAGGTGTCATGCCGAGGAACGAGGAACACAAGGCTGAGCCAGAACCCGAGGGACTGGTGGTTGCATCAGCTTTTGTAGCCACCTCACGGGACTGGGCGCCACTGCTTTGAGCGTCTTCCCATTCCAAAGTGCCATACTCGCTCTGGTACAACAAAGCCAGCCCTGGTGGCAGCTCCTCAAATCCCAGCCCCGTGGAAGTGGGGTGGTTAACATTACATTAAGAGTTTAAAATTAATGCTTGAAAGACCAAAAAGGGGGGAAAAAATGCCTCTACCATGTAAGCCCCTAGCTGGTACAGGCTATGCCCTAGCAGCCGGTGCTCTTAACCACTGATCCATCCCGCTACTTCTGCTTTGTAATCAAACTTGCTTACTCTGCTCCTTTATGTGTTAAAACTAGACCCTGCCTACAAATAGGCTGAATCCATGTCACCTTGGGGTTTTGCCTTTATAGGCCCTGGGCTGATATGGTTAGGTGCTGCCGTTTGAGAATGCTCTCAGGTGCAGACCTGACCCCAGTCAGTCCAGGTGTCAGAAATAAAAAGCTTCCTCTTATTATAATGTATTCGTGAACAGGGCAGTGGTAGCACACGCCTTTAATTCCAGCACTTCAGAGGCAGAGGCAGGTGGATCTCTGAGTTCCAGGCCAGCCTGGTGTACAGAGTGAATTGATCAAATAAATTAAATCTAATAATTGAATAATAATAATAATTTAAATTTATTCATGGTCATTGCTGATCTCTAAGTGAGTTAAGACCCATAACAAAAGTTGAGGCAGGCAACTCATTGGGCTGCAGGTGACGGCCTATCTCAAGAAAGACAGAAAACAAATCTATCAACCCACAATGTCAATAACAGGAGCTGGGCAGAAAGGGATTAATACAGCAAACCTTCCCTTGAGAAACTGAGTGCTTATTAAAACATAAAATAATTTGGCTAAGTTTTCCACTTTATAAAAATAAATGTACCTATGTTTACTTCTGAAACTTTGGAACTGGAAAACATTAGACAGACAGACCCAGATCTACACAGCATATGTAACTGTCAGTCAGAGGACAGCAATGTTTCTGCTCAGAGAAAGGAGCTTTGGGGAAGCAGCATTTGTGGTTACAAGAAAGTGTGCAGGTTCTGAATTCAATCCCCAACTACAAAATATCACCAAAAACAGGTGAGACCTAGGAAGTGGCACATAACTTTAATCCTGGCACTCTGGGGGCAGAGGCAGAACTCTGTGAGTTCGAGGCCAACCTGATCGGCAAAGCAATCAGTTCCAGCCAGAGATCAACATCAAGACCCTGTCACAAAAAAAAAAAAAAAAACCCAAAAACCTATGGAGGAAAAATTACAAAGAATATGTACATGTATAAGGAAATGAAGCTAGCTAGGGGAAAAGCACAAGAGGTAGAGTGTTCTGGAAAGAAGAGGCAGGTACTTGAGGTACTCGTTAAGTACTAATTTAGCAAGGACGCTGAGAGTGGTGCCAGACAATGACATACACAAGGATAGGAAAGCAAAGACCTGCCAGGAAGCAGAGACTGAGCAGCACAAAGGCGTGAAAGGAAGGCTCAAGCCAGAATGGAATCTGAGCAGATGAAACAGGAGATGCAGCCAGGACCAAGGAGGATGATGCAATCCCGAAGGTGGTGTTTTGGGAAGCCAGCTCAGGCTTCCAGTGCAGCGTGGGATGCTGATGAACATGCAAGATTATGTTTCATGGTACACAAACACATTTTGTTTTGCTTGAGCGTTTAATACGCACAGGTAAAAATTAACCAGTACATAAAATATATAGGTCTCTCTACTGCATATAATAACCAAGTTCTTTTACAAACCTTCAGATAAAAAGCGGCGCTTTGGAAAGAAAACGGTGGGGCCCTGCAGTGCCATGAGAATGGAAACTGGTGCAGATGCTACGGAAATCAGTATCAAGGTTCCCAAAAATCTAAAAATGGAACTATCTAGCGATGCCACTCCTGGGCGCAAACCTGAAGGACTCCAAAGTCCACATGCCAGAGATAACTTACACAGTGTTCACCGCAGTTGGCTCTCTTTTACAAGAGCCGTGCGACAGAAACTTGAAGAATGGGTGTGGAAAATGCGCATATACACGAGGGAATTCTATTTAGCTATAAAGATTAACACGAAGTCACAATATCTGCAGGAAAATGGATGGAACTGGAGATGATTCTACTAAGTAACATTAGCCAAATCCAGAAAGACGAATAACACATTTTCTCTCCTAAGTGGACCCTAGGTTTAAACGTGTGTCTGTGTGTGTGTGTGTGTGTGTGTGTGTGTGTGTGTGTGTGTGTGGTTGAGGGCACCATGAAGGGAGACTCCTAAAGGAAAGCAGAGGGAAGGGTAAGACCGGAGGGCAGAACGCAGCGGTTGCAAGGGTGTGTACAGCTGCCCGCCACCAGACATGCCTGGCCAGGTGAGGAAAAGAACTGGGTAGACTCCAGCACAGACTGTGGGGAAGAAGGCAAGAGACCCCAGCGGGTGAGCACAGGGTCTCTCCAGATTGGTGTGTCATCCTTAAGATGTTTTGCTGCCTTGCATTCCTAGTAAAAGCGGGAAAACTACAGGGAGGAGTAACCAGGCTTGCAACAGTG